TGTCCCAACCAGTTGTCTTCCCAAAAAGAAATGCTCTGTCCACTACCCACTTTATAGCTGATTTTGTTGCTGAAGATTTCTGATTGTCTTCCAAACACTAACCCCATAGGTAGTGTTTACTATCTTAGTTTTCCAGAGCCCTGCCTCTCCATATTTGTCTTCAATTACCATCCTCCATAATGAATGTTCTTCAGTTGTGAATCTCCACAGCCGTTTTATGAGGAGGCTTTGGTTTTGTTTCCTCAAATTTTTTATCTTTTGCCTGCTTATATCAGGATGTTCTCTATTCTTTCATTATCCTTACACTTGCATTATCTTCGTAGTTATTATTTTAGAGTTTGCTGCTGTTGTTATACCCATGTACAATGAAAAGCTCTTTTTTGCTCTTTCTTTCCTTTTTCTTTGCTCTGCTTCAATGCCACTTTGATAGTTCTACTTCAAAGAAGATCTTTCGTTTCACTCGTATCGTTGGGTTGATCTTTTAGCTCCTTTTTTTTTCTTTTCATTAATGGCAGAGCCAGGCCAGCTTCACACACTCAACTAATCAACCATGTAACTGCTACCTCCCACCAGCACAAATACCCACCAAGACTTACGCAGATAGAAAGAGTTAACCTAGTTCCACCTCTCCTACAATTTGAACCTTAGTTCACTCGGGTTATTACTCAAACTTTTTACCACTAGGCAACCTCGTCAAGCGCTGATATGTTTTCATTTTACTTTCTAGCTATTTAATTTATACTCTATAATGTTGACATCGTCTAGGTGTGATATACATAAAGCTCCATAGCCCTTACAAACAGAGGTTTAGGGATCTTTATCCCTGCATGACGTACAAATCTCTAACTTTATCAGAAAACCCACTTCAGGTCAAGAATCAAGCTTTCTTATATAGTTTATCTCATAGGCGAGTCAGCCCATCAATCCATCACCCTAGTATCAGGACTTGGTTATTTGGTTCCCGGATTTTGTGAAGTAGAACATTCGACAATAGCCAATTCGTCAAATATTACCAAGCCTAAACTGTTAGATAAACTTAGCACTATTCTTGAGCAACATTCAACAACTCAAGTTTTAAGGAAGGAATTAAAACCAAAATGGATTTCAATAGAGTTCTACCAGTAAGCAAATTACTCAATAATTCCTCACTCTTTTACCTTATTTAAAATAAAATAAAAAATCCATGGTGTTCCCTCTCACCTCAGTCAACACCTTTCTTCTCACTATCCTCCTCTTTCTTCACTCTCTTGAATAGCTTATTATGCAAAAAACGCTCAAACAATACCCCTTTATGTTGTGTTCTCTAAAACCTTCACCACATAATTCACTGGAATAACCAATTCCAAATCACCCTTCTGCTTCAATTTAGATGACCAACATTTGTGCTCCAAAAATTTCTAGACTAAGGAGCGTAATGACCCGTTTGTCCATAGATATTTTTTCCTTTTTTTATTTTTTTTTCAAAAATATGTTTGTCCATGAAATTTTGCAAATTTTAGGAATTTTTCGAAAATGAATTTTTTTTAAACCAAAAAGTCGTTTTGACCACTTTTAAACCACTTTTTCAAATTTTTCAGAAATTTTTGTTTCCTCACTAGTAAAACTACAATATTTTTTCAACTGAAATGCATGTCCAAACATAATTTCAAATTCCAAATAACTTTTTTTAACTTAACTCCAAATACAGAGTACTTTTTTTCAAAGATTACAATTTTTATGTCCAAACGCCTACTAAATTCGATTTTCTCTTCCTCTACCTCAACCCCTCAAACTTACAACCACCGTCCTCTCCGTCCCTCACATGACTCATGATTCTCTATCACAGTATCACGCATACTCACGTGCCCGCTACCTAGCACAATTTAGGCTCCTCAATCAAGAAATCCATGGAGCACAAATTTGGGTCATCTAAATTGAAGTTCTTGGGTGAGTTGAAACTGGTTATTCCAGCCAATTTTGTAGCTGAGAATTTGAATAAGAAGGCGAAAAGGGGTAATGTTTGAGTGCTTTGCATAAGAAACTGTTCAAGGTAGCGAAGAAATAAGAGGATAGCAAGAAGAAGGCATTGTCTGAGGTAAGTGGTGTTGAGTCCCATATCGTTTGTGGATGGGCACTTGGACTCCTTATATGGTCTTGATCAATCTTCACCTCATGATCTAGTTTTTCGGGTTGAGATATGCCCAGATTCCATTTCGTTATCATGGTATCAAAGTTAGGCATCTTAATTCTTGTTTAGTTAGATGTTGGGGCCCCATATTACATTGTACACGCTCCAGATGTCCAGTTCTGTACGTGAGGGGTGTTGAGTCCCACATCGTTTTTGTGAGATGGTTTCACCACCTCATGAGCTAGCTTTTGGGGTTGACTTATGCCCAAATTTCATTTCTTTAACAGGAACACCATGACATTAGCGATGGTGCGTTGGTGCTTAGAGGTGAGATGGAATTGTAGTTGGTAGAACTCTATTGGATTCCATTTGGGTCTTAATTCTTTTCCAGGTACTCGATTTATAGTGAGCTAAGTTTATTTATATAAAAGTAGTAATAAATAAATATACAAGAAGAGAAAAGGGAAGTGGAGAAATTACAATGCGGTGGTGGAGCTCGGCAACAGCTTGACCGGCTTGTTGAACGACTGAGTCGGCATAGTTCTTTACGGTGCGGGTGAGATTGTTGTTGTTTCCAACCTCCACTGCTTTGCTCATCGCAGATTTCAACCACGACATTTCTGCTATTCTTTGAATTAGGGCTCTATAGTATATGACGCCAGAAGAGAACAGAAGAAGATTAATGAAGCTACTACAATTTTTTCTTTTTCCTGATATCTAATCAATAAATGGGAATAAAGATGAAGATTGTTGTTCTTCTCTCCACAGCTTGGGATGGGAAGGAAACCCAACTTGTTTTGCGACTTCAATTTTTACTTGACTTGGAAGACAGACCCGTTTACTGACGAAGTTTGTTGTATTTTAGGACAAAGGAGAAATAAACCTTGAAACAAATTGTCATTGCTTTTAAAGATGAAATACTGTAATAAAATATACAATTAAAATTTTATTATTTTAGCTAAAAAAATTATTTAGTTAAAAATAATGGAACTCTAGTAAAAAAAAATATATAGATTTCTTCGGAAAAAAAAGAGAAAATAAACAGTTAAAATAAATACTTGTTGCATCTAAATAAGAAAACAAAATTCACAGCTTGAATTCTATTATTTTTGCTTAAACTTTTTACTTGGCAAAAATAATGGAGTTTCAATTAAGTCCTTTTTACATATTTGGCCCGAAAAATGCACAATTAGAAGAAACTAAAAAATTTTAAAGATGTAAATATGCATTGGTACATTAAAAGGCAGAAGAAATACTCAATAAAAATAAATAAATTATTATTTACGACTATGCAGTAATTACAATTAAAAAATAATACCTTGAAAGATAACTTTTTCAATTTTTCATCACTCTCACGCGCCTAAAATTTAGGTATCAACCTTAAGGGTTAAAGGTTATCAAACTTACAAGTTGTTGGGGGACACAATTAGAACCAAATATAATTCACATGTGCACCAAATAAAATGTCAAATTCACGAGATATTCCTAAATATAATTGCACTCATCCTTGGCTCCTGCTTTGTTATTCTAGTTATAGGAAATGATTCTCGAGAAAATATCATTATCACTCCCTCCCTCCTTTCTAAATTGAGGATCCTTAAACTTTATAGGGTCTCTCTACTGCTTTACGTGTACTTGCACAAGTCTATTAAATCGGTAAATTAAAATATCTACTATTCCATTATTAAAAAATTGTAACCGAGCTGTGCTTCTTGATTACTTGTATTTTCTGTAGCTAATAACTCTAAGGTTTCACAATCTTATTAATTTGCCAATATGCATAATCTGAATTCTGAACTACACTGATAATGCCCATAATTATTTTATTAGTCGGGGATCAATTGCTTTTGACAGGTCGACAAGTCATGTGTATGTTTGATATGATCTATTTTTCAAAAATTATTTTCTAGTATTTTATTGTCAGAAAATATTTTCTATTGAAAATTATTTTCACGTCAGGTGAAAAATGATTTCCCTCACTTTTAGCGGAAGTCAATTTTTTTTTTCACAATTATTTAAACTCTAAACTTACATCGGTACATCAATTAATACTAAAACATCCAATACAGTTCCAATTGAAACTTTGTTGCAAACCACAAATGTAGAAGTCAACTTGGCTTTTGCTTCATGGCCAACTGAAATATTAATTGATGAAACGAAACGCGTATCTTGTCTAGCACATTTCCAATATCAACTTCTACATTCTTTCGTATTATTATTATTATTATTATTATTATTATTATTATTATTATTATTATTATTATTATTATGTGTATTAGTTATTTGTTCTAATTTTCTAACCGTATTTGATTTTTCTATTTCTTTAAACAATGACAATATATTTACCATAATTGATTTTTCCTTTTACGAAAAAGGAAAATATGATTTTTTTTTCATATTTGGCTAGTCCTTTCTCTTGGAATAAAAAATTTTGACTTCAATTAATTAAGGATCTTTTAAGGCGTTAGAGAGTCATGTTTAGAGGAATAATTTCGGACAAGTGTTAGTCTGCTAGTTTGCCTCTTTGTGTTTTGCCTCTTTGTGTTTTGTACTCTTTTTTATATAGTGGATTGCCCATCTCCGATTGTGGATGTAGACCAATTGACTGAACTACGTTAAATAACGTAAATCAATTGACTAAACCACGTTAAATGTTTGTGTCTCCTCTGTTATATTTCTCTTGCATTGTTTGATTTATTTTCATTCAAGATTTCTCTTACTAGCTTTCGCGTGATACCTGATTATTTCGATTCTAACAATGTGTACATGTGTATTGCTCGGTACAAGTCTTCGTATCCATGTTTCTCCTTTATTTGTTTTTCCGTTTTTTAACCATACTTAATGTATTGGTCAATTTCTGACTTAGTAAGATTCTCAAGAGAGTTTGAAAATATGAGCTTCGAGCTTTAAATCTTTATTGATAAATATTTGGTATATTTACATTGTAAGATACATGAGTAAATACACGGAATAATAAACCAAAGTTAACATCTTGATATATGGTTTTATTTCATAAATGAAAAATCTTGATCTGCACGTCAGTAAGATCAGCACCTTCATTTGTTTATTTAAAAAAAGAAAAATCGAACAGCAATTGGGCTCCTAACAATATGCTTTTCAGAAATCCATCTGAGAGATCCCTGATTAGAACTGGTACTTGGTCTAGTAGCCAAAGGTGTGAACGTCACTTGATAGCTCAACTTTTGGTTCACCTCTGAAAAAGCAAGTGTAGTTGGCTCAACTTTCACATCAACGCCCGGTGGCGAATCAATTTCAACACTGTATGTTGAGTTGGCTTGTCCTACGTTCATCACATTTCTTGAATATGTTTGAGCTGTTGAGTTGCTTCTGACTTGGATCGAAAATGATGGATAATTTAGTTGACCTTCTAAGATGCTAGTTATTGCTGAACATTTAAATTTGCGCTGCAAAAAGATCCCAACTTGTCTATCCGTGTAATTTAGGCCACATAGATAAGCTATGTAATCGGCTGGTTCAATGTCATATATCAGGCCGGGATCATTTGCTTTTGATGGATTAACGTGCCCTGCACCTGTGGCGAAGACGCTAGCTGGAAGGTATGTTTGATCCTCGATGGAGCTCAATCCGAGGTTTAAGACATCGGCTGTTGTCATAATTGCTGACTTAATTGCAGCTGGAGACCAATCAAGGTGACTACTTTTTAGCAGCGTTGCAACGCCACTGAGATGAGGACAAGACATTGAGGTACCTGAAATCATGTTGAAATTAGAGTTCGTGTTCGTGTTGTTTTCCAAGGAAACATGCCAAGCTGCTAGGATGTTAACACCAGGACCAATAATATCCGGTTTTAGAATTCCAGGACTTGCATAATTTGGACCCCTGGAAGAAAAACCAGCAACCACAGGAGCACGATCATCTCCGATTATAGTTCCCTTGAATACTATTGTTGCAGTAGGGATTAATGTTGAGTTTATATACTCTATGATTTTTATACCATCTGCATAGGTAACGTGTGTCACCGGAAGGACATGTGCCTCGGCTAACGTTGTGTTAGCCAGGGTTTCTGTATTCATAAGAATCATGGCAGCACCACCAGCTGCCTTCACTACTTTTCCTTTGTCAACTCGCGTAGTTTTACCAACCTCACACAACACTATCTTTCCCATGACATTCGTGTTGTTCAGCGAAGTAGGGGTACAATACTTAGCATCAGAGTCACTAGCATTGCTTCCAGGATAGGCAAGAGGCAACAGTGTTGGAGGAAAGTCACTAGGTTGAAAAGCTGATTCTCCATCGAATTCTTCACTGTTTCCAAGCACAGCAGTAGCTTTAATTTTCCTGTCAATGGTACTTGCACCAACTGTTAAAATCCAGGGCGCTTCATTAGCCGTTGAAAAACTGGATGGTCCTGAATTTCCAGCAGCACAACTGACAAAGATCCCCTTTTCCATTGCACTAAATGCACCAAGCGCAATGTTGTCAGAATAGAAATTATTAGTAAGTCTACCAAGGGAAAGCGAAAGCACGTCGACACCATCTTCTATTGCCATATCCATTGCAGCTAAAGTGTCACTTTCAGAACAAGTGATACCTGAGCACACTTTGTAAATGGCAACATGAGCTAGAGGTGCAACGCCTGCTGCAGTTCCATTAGCATTGCCAAATATATTAGCTCCTGGCACGAAATTTCCAGCAGCTGTGCTAGCAGTGTGTGTACCATGTCCATTTTCGTCCCATGGTGACCCATTCCCTGAGGACAGGAAGTACCTCGCTCCAATGAGCTTCTTGTTACACTTTGTGACATTAAATTCACACTTACCCTTCCATTTAGCAGGGGGTGGGGGCATCCCATCGTCACTAAACGAAGGGTGGTCCGGGAAAATTCCCGTGTCAATGACACCAATAATCACACCTTTCCCATAATTTGAGTCATTCCAGAACCCCATGTTCTGGTGCAACCCCAAGAAGTTGAGACTATGTGTAGTGTACAAATCAAGTTGCCTTTCGGGGCGTGCAGAAATAAATCCTTCCCTTTTCTCCATTTCCTTGAGATCATCTGGATATAACTTAGCTGCAAAACCTGTTAGAACATTTCGATAAGAATAAATCAATCGTGGCTCCTCACGAGAGCCATCTGAGGTTGTTGCAGGCAAGAAAGAAAGGTACCAGCTATCTAAATCTTGATATCTGCTAGCGCCTTCACGATCAGGGAACTCACAATGAACAATATAGACTTGTGAATTGCTTTGTTCTTCTTCAGGCCTTTCATCTACAGGGTGTTCATTTGCATTAGCGGTAAATGAAGAGAACAGAAAAATAAGGCCAATTATTGTGAGAATTGACCTGAATTGAGCCATGGCAACTTTACTGCTAGTGAAATATCAGTTTTCTGTGCTAATGAGTTTGGATTATATCTACAATGGAGGGATGAAGTTAGAAAAAAGAGGTATTTGCCTAAGGATTTTGGTTGGAATTCTGGAATTTTAGTTGAGGTTATATGTAGTTCTTGGAAGTATTTTTTTATTTGCTAGTCAGAACTCAGAAGCTACTATAGACATATGAACTAGTCATGCGGGGGGAATCATGAAAATAAAAAAATAGGCCAAAAACTGAATTGGTCATCTACACGCTAAAAACAATTTTAATTTAATCTAACTAATCTTTGAGAAATGAACTTTAGCTAGCAACAACATATAGACAAAGTCGTTAATATTCATGATAATTTTTTCTACCTCAGTAATGTTCGAGTCAACTTGGACATGTTGGGAATAAACCCCCCACAGAAATAATATTCACGGTAATAATAACGGAGTAATAAAGGAGTACCGAGATACGGTGATCAAGAATAAAAAGAACAACAAGGATACAAAGATTTTAACGTGAAAAATTCTTCTAAATAAGGAAAAAATCACGGGCCCAAGAGGAGCAAAGTAATCCACTATAATGAGAAATTTTATACTCCATAGTCCCGAGTAAATACTCCAGGAAATACTATACACTCAAAAGACATAACCCTCTTTTATGATTCTCACCTCATTACAATATCGCTCACACTCTCTATTTTTCCTCACAGACTATACTGCATGTGAATACCTCACACTGCTCTCTATGCTCTTAGATATATTTCTCTCTGAGATTGGTGTGTAGAAATGAGAGCGAAGCTCTCGTTTTATAGTGTTGAGCGCCCAATCTTCCAACAATCAAAACGATTGGTTATTGCAATTTGCAATTGCAATTTGCTTTGTCTGACACCTACTATTTTTGACAATTTGCAGATTTGCAAATCAAATCCAAAATAAGTCATGATGAAATTTCACACTTTTCCTTCCTTTTTTTTTTTCATTTATGGGGATGGACCCCATAAATATCCCCCTCTAGACCCATTCACCTAAAGGAGATAACACCAGACTTCTAGTTTGAGTGCATATCGACAAGTTCTTTGCACAATTCGAACTTGTCTCTTGGTACCACCTTGGTCAGTATATTTGCGAGATTCTCACTTGTAGAAATCTTCAAGACTTTTAGAGATTCATTCTCTACCATTTCTCGAATCCAGTGATATCTCATGTCGATGTGTTTGGTCCTTGCATGGTACGTGGAGTTCTTGCTAAGGTCTATTGCACTTTGGCTGTCACAATAGACGACATACTCTTTCTGATACAATCCAAGCTCTTGAAGGAACTGTTTCAACCATATCATCTCCTTGCCAGCTTCAGTAGTGGCAATATACTCCGCGTCAGTTGTAGAGAGTGCAACACACTTTCTGTAACCTCGACTGCCATGATATAGCTCCCCCTGAAAATGTAAACAAATATCCAGTAGTGGATTTTCTGTTATCAATGTCACCTGCCATATTAGCACCTATAGCCCTCCAAGATTGGATCGGATCATCCAAATCACAAACAATCTCCCGCAGTACCTCTCAGATACTTGAGTAATCCACTTGACTGCTTCTCAGTGTTCTTTTTCAGGATTTTCAAAAAACCTGCTCACAATACTAACCGCGTGAGCAATATCAGGTCTAGTGCATACCATTGGATACATCAAACTTCCGACGGTAAAGGAATAAGGAACTTTGGTCATGTTTTTTTTTTTCCTCCATTGTTGTAGGACACATCTTCTTGCTTAACTTAAGATGACTAGCAAAAGGTGTGATGACTGGTTGAGCATTCTTTATGTTGAAGCGTTCCAGTACACGTTCAATGTACTTCTCTTGAGACAGTCACAACTGTCTTATTGTTCGCTCTCAAACTATCTTCATACCTAGAATTTGTTGTGCTGGGCCCAAGTCCATCATATCAAATGACTTGGACAAATCTCCCTTCAACTTTGCGATCAACTCCTTGTCTTTTCCTACAATTAATATATCATCCACATACAACAACAAAATAATAAAATTATTTGTCAGAAAATCTTTTGAAGTATACACATGGATCAGAATATGTCTTTATGTAAGTTTGACTTTTCATGAATGAGTCAAACTTCTTGTACCACTGCCTTGGTGCCTGCTTCAACTGTAAAGACTCTTATTCAGTTTGCACCACATGTGTTTCCTTCCAGGTACTTCAAATCCTTTTGGCTGCTCCATATAGATCTCATCTTCCAAATTTCTGTGAAAAAATGCAGTTTTCACGTCCAACTCCTCCACTTCAAGATCTAGGCTACCTGCTAAGCTCAAGATTGTTCGAACAGAAGTCATTTTGACAACAAGTGAGAAAATTTTGTCAAAATCAATACCTTTCTTCTGTTCGAAGCCTTTTACCACTAGTCGAGCTTTGTATCTGATCAGCTTGCTATTTTCATCTTTCTTGGGTTTAAAAACCATTTTTGAGTGATCTTTTACCGTTTGGAAGTTCAACCAGCTTGTACGTGCCATTTTTCTGTAGAGATTCCATCTCTTCTTTCATGGATTTCATCCACTGGTTCTTTTTTTATGGGACAACACCTCCTTAAGACTTTTTGGCTCCCCCTCATCAGTGATGAGGACATGCTCTGTGGATGGGTACCTCCATGACTCTACCCTTGGCCTCTCTGATCTCCTTAGAGGTCGAGGTTGTTCTTCTTCCTGAGTGGGGTACTCCACTTGCTCGACATCATCATCAAATTGCCCCCCTGCTCAATAACTTCACCAGGTTACTCCTCATGCTCGGCAACCTCGTCGGCCCTACTTTGTGCACTTGTGGGATTGTTAGAAGTAGAAGGAATGGTAACAAGGTTAGGGATTATACCATTTTTGTCCTTCTCTGACTGATCATATACAACTCCAACTTCACTTTCTTGGAAGATTACCATCTCTGCTTCTAATGACCTTCTTCTTTATAGGATCCTACAATCTGTACCCGAACTCTTCATCTCCATATCCGATGAATATATAGGGAACAGATTTATCACCCAACTTTGTTCTCTATTCCTTTAGTACATGTGCAAAAGCTCTGCAACCGAATACCTTTAGATGTGAGTAGGACACCTCCTTGTTGGTCCAAACTGTCTCTGGGATGTCAAACTCCAATGGAACTGATGAACTCCTATTGATCATGTAACAGGCTGTCTGAACTGCTTCATCCCAGAATGACTTAGGCAGTTTAGCCCCTCTAAGCATGTTTCTCACCTTCTCAATAATGTTGCGGTTCATTCTCTCAGCTACACCATTGTGTTGTGGGATTTCAGGAACTGTCTTTTCATGTTTTATCCCATGGTTTGAACAAAACTCTTCAAATTCCCTTGAAGTGTACTCACCTCTATTGTCACTTCGGAGACTCTTTAGCTTTTGGCTTGTCTCCCTTTCCACCAGAGCATAAAACTTTTGGAAAACGTGAAACACTTGATCTTTGGTTTTTATAATATAAACCCACAATTTTTGTTAAGCATCATCAATAAAAGTAACAAAACCCATTGATTCAATTTCCATTGGACTACAAACATCAGAATATACCAAATCAAGTATATTCAATTTTCATTCAGACGATGTCTGAAATGAGACTCTATGCTACTTACCAAATAAACAGTAGTCACAAGGTTTTACTGTTGTACCTTTGGCATAAGAAACTGGTGATTTCCTGGCAAGAATCTGCAATTCCTTCTCACTCATATGACCCATTCTTTTGTGCCACAAATCTGCAGAAATCTCATCTTGTGCTGGGTTCGATTCACCTAGTCATATTTCTGCATTTGTCCTGTACAACGTGCCACGAGTAACTCCCTTTGCAATCACCAATGATCTTTTGGTGAGTCTCCACTTTTGATTTGCAAAATAGTTCTTGTATCCATCTTGGTCTAAAACGATTCCCGAGATCAAGTTCATCCGCAAATCAGGTACATGCCACATGTCCTTTAGAACCAGTGTGCATCCGATATTTGTGTTGATACAAATTTCACCGATCCCCGTAATCTTTGAGTAACTCATGTTACCCATTCTCACAGTTCCAAAATCACCTTCTACATATATGTAAAAAAAATTCTCTTACCGGTGTGGCATGGTAAGATGTTGTATCAACTAACCCATTCTGACTCTGGACCAGCCAAGTGCATGCATTCCTCTTCCTCATTTATAAAAAGGACAACATTATCATTATTTTGCACCATGCGGTTATGTTGTCGTCATTCTTCTGGCCACTGCTTTCACCTTTGTCATTTATTAGATTTGGGCAATCTCTTTTGAAGTGACCCGGTTGATCGCAATTGTAGCAATTTTGACTTTTGATTTATACCGGTTCTTGGACTTCCCACACCCTCCGGATCTACCATAGTTGCTTGAACTCCTTTGGTAACTTCTGCTTCTACCTTCTGTGATGAGAGCCTGCCCTTGATTTTCAGGCTTCTTTCTCATCTTCTCATTGAGTAGAAGAGCCGATGTGACGTCTTTCAACTCAATGGTAGTCTTACCGTGCAGGATGGTTGTTGCCAAATTATCGTACGAAGATGGCAACGAGTTCAATAACAAGATGGCTTTATCTTCTTTCTCGATTTTCACTCCGAGGTTGGCAAGCTGTGTGATTAGTCCGTTAAACACATTTCAATGTGGCAAAAAATTCGTACCTTCACCCATGTGTAGGGCGTATAGCTGCTTCTTCAGGTACAATTTATTTGTCGGTATTTTGGACATGTATAGGCTTTTCAACCTTGTCCAAATTCCACATGTGGTGTATTCATCAATGATGTTATTTACCACATCATCTGATAAGTACAACCTGATTGCACTAGCAGCTCTTTCATCCAAGTCAGTCCAATTCTCAGCTTTTATGGTATCAGGCTTTTTGACATCAGCATCTAGTACCTTATGTAATCTTTGTTGGATGAGCAGACCCCTCATCCTTCTTTGCCATGTTGAGAAACCGCTATCTCTGTTAAATTTTGCTAACTCGTACTTTACTCATGACATTTTTTTTCCACCGAATATAGTACTACCAATAGTGAATAATATTTTTATGAACGAGCAGAACTTGTGCTCTGATACCAGTTGTTGGGAATAAACTCCTCACAGAAATATTCACGGTAATAACAACGGAATAATAACGTAGTGCCAAGATACAGTGATCAAGAATAAAAAGAACAACAAGGACACAAAGATTTTAACGTGGAAAATTCTTCTGAATAAGGAAAAAGTCACGGGCCGAGAGGAGCAAAGTAATCCACTATAATGAGAAATTTTACACTCCGTAGTCCCGAGTAAATACTCCAGGAACCACTATACACTCAAAAGAAATAACCCTCTTTTAAGATTCTCACCTCACTTATCTCTATTTTTCCTTACAGACTACACCGCTTGTGAATACCTCACACTGCTCTCTATGCTCTCAAATATATTTCTCTCTGAGATTGATGTGTAGAAATGAGAGTTGAAGCTCTTTTTTTATAGTGTTAAGTGCCCAATCTTCCACCAATCAAAACGATTGGTTATTGCAATTTGCAATTGTAAATTACTTTTTCTGACGCCTACTATTTTTGACAATTTGCAGATTTGCAAATCAAATCCAAAATAAGTCATGATGGAATCTGACACTTTTCCTTCCTTTTCTTTTTTTAATTTATGGGGATAGACCCCACATGACACACCTTAACTATTGAGAAAGATTTTAAAA